AAAAACAATCGCAGTCAAGAATGTGCCCTCTATAGTGTTTACAAGCAATTGTGGACGGACATTGGTGACGCCAATATACGCCCGCCATTTCATGTGGGCGTATAAAAATTTGGATAACGATTACATTCTGATTATGAAAACAAAAATGATTCGATATATATGAAGTTAATAACACTAAAGTCGAAATATTTCAGTATTTCCAAGAAAATGATTATGACATGTTGTCATTTATCATTGAAAAGAAAACCACGAGGTCATTATTAATCTGAAACTTCCAATTAAATTAGAGAATGCAAAAGCATATCAATTCTCTGATAGCTATTAACCACCAGGTTTGCTACCGATATAAGCATAGGTAGATTACGTGCTACACTGGAAATGTAAGGTCATACAAGATCAAGATAACGAGAAAGCCTTTAAAATTTGGAAAAAAAAACCACCAAAAAACGGAAATTTAATTTAAAAAAAAACTGTTCATGTTATAGATATATGTACAAGATTTTGATACAACTGTGTCACTTCCAGCTTGGATATAGTCTTATTTGGCGGATTTATAATTCGTTTTTTATTGACATCCCTGATATACATCAGAACTGATTTAATGAGACAGATTCTCGAACGGGAACAAATTGAATGTTGATGTCACATTTGTCTTTGTATGGGTAGGATGTTCAGATTCTGAATTTCAGATTGATCGATTTCAAATTTCTAGTTCCATTTTTTTTAATTAAAATTTTTTGAAGTTTTGATTTTTTTTAACTTTGATTTCAATAAACCATGTTATACAGAACATTTAAACGAAATCCCGGTACAACAAACTCCCCAGACACAGAGTTTTTGCTTTTGCATAGTTTGCAAGATGTCACTTTTGGATGTTACAAAAGAATACCGTCATATGTTCACTAAGAAATTTTCCTCTGTTGTAGATAAACGATCAAGCAAGATATGCAATATCATTTTCAGTTTTCCTACAGACGATAACTAGAGTAAAAATCATAATTCGAAAATCAATCGTAACAAATCAAGAAAATTGTTTATAAAAACAAAGAAAGGTTTACGTCCTACTTTTCTACACTTAACATGCTAGTAATCACTACAGTCAGAAATTTAAACATTAGCACAAAAAACTCGTAATTGAATTACATGATTCATAATAGGTCGTGATTTAATCAAAATGAAAATAGCACAACTAACCTTGTAAATATATGGGATATCTCGTACCACAATGTCCAGTACCCGGTGGCTCAGATGGTATTATGTGTTCCTCTATTCCGTACCAACCCGCTCGCATAAACCGGTCATTCAATTCCGTGGAGAGGTCATACGTGATTAATCTTTTATCAGGATGCGAAAACGGTGAGTGGAATTTACAGACTTCCGCAGCTAAAATAACAATTTAATAAAATAAATCAGAACACTATTAAATATTATCTTTCATATTTAAATTTACATCTTGGAACCTTTAACAGGTGGTATATCAATTAATTTTTTTTTTTCTAATATGGTCGCTTGGGTTGAGATCTAAGAACTGTTCACCTTGAGCACTGGGGAAAAAAAGATAACCTCACGGTATATTAATTTTGGACTTACCATTCTGACATGAAGCTGTATACCAAAGAGATAACCCAATACACGTAGAAAATAATTCCCACATGTTTAACGATCGACTCTGTGAAATAAAGAGACAAATCAAGTCCTGCTTCTTAAATATGTTTCTGTCCCGGAATGCGACACTTTCAACTTCTTGTCATGTGTTGGGTTAAACCAATATTCTTGTTCAATGACCGTGTGGGCTAATGAAGACGGGTAACGCCATGCAGGGTGCAATGAGATTTCCAACTATCAAGGCCTCTTTAACACGCACAGCACGTACGGGGCCTCGATTTAATGTCCCATCCGAATGACTAGACGTATTATCCAAGTCAGTCCTTCTTACCTGCATCACTGACATTGGGAACCCGGGTTGAAAAATGCCAGGATTGAACCCTGCTTAGCGAGCAAGCGTCTAACTCACTAAAGCCACCGCGACTCCCAAGCTAGTAATCCTACAATAACAAATGTAAATTTTCTTGGAAAAGTAATGATAGGCTTTCATCGCTAGTTTGTTGGTTCTTCGAACTTTGCCGATTATTTAAAAGTTAATTCGAATATATGTATTAAAATAGTACTTATAATAACTTTGAGCTGATAATTAATAAATTTTACTAATTTTACATTAAAACTATCTTTATACCCCCAAAATATTTCAACCAAAAAGCAAAAATTTTGAATGAAATTCAGTGAAGGTTTTTCTCTGTAAAAAGAAATTTTAAAGTCATAACGTGTGCTCGTTATATTTTAATATCATAATAATAAGTTAGTCTGGATAAACATAGTAAATTTCATCAGCCTCTCTGAGGTGAAGTTTCCACATGGATCTGGGTAATTCTCTCGTATTTCTTCCTCTCATGATGAGTCGGACAAATACTCCTCCAAGTTGTTGTTTGGTTTAGGCTAAAAGCTGATCGAGAGCCCTTATTTAACTCAATAGTAAAAGTTGTTTTTCTGATCACGTGACCATTGGGAATAGCCAACATGGCGACCGACACAAATATTTGTCGGCTTTGATTTAAAAATACTATAAAATTAATGTTTACCTAGGAATGTCGCTGATTGTTTTAGGGTAGTGTCTGAGCACAATGAATTTACGAATTTAGCTTTTATTTCCTAACATATGACCAGAGCCTCCCTTTAAGGAACTGACAAGAAGGCGCATAGTCTTACAGATGAGACGATTGGTGGGACGACTTGATCTACAGGTCCTACATATTTTAGATCAATTAACAGTTGGGGTTGGTTCGACAACGGTTGACTATCGTAAACGGAGAAGGTTGATGTAGCTATTGTGTCACCAAAATTATACTTCAAGTCGGTGTCTTTTTTATTAGCCAAGCAGAGATTATTTTATTTTAGTCGTCAGTTAAGTCACTGATTCGATCAGTTGACCTAAGCCCTCATCGACCATCTATTATACTCAATGTGTTTAATTTGACATCCTCGTTAAATAATTTACTCGTGACTAATTCAAACCAGTTTATCTATCTGCATTGCAGTTTCCGTTTTGTTCAATTGACACCATCCTTAATGAAATTTTTTGCAGGTCGAAAAGTTATTTTGCTCAAATTTGTGAAAACTATACACCAAAATCTAGAGAAATGTGCCCTTTAACCTTTAAACTAAAAGAATTCAGCCGATTATCTTTAATCCCCCAAAATATCCAAAAACATTACGTAAGGTTTTTATTACCGGTACATACATTCGTGCACAATTTATAAGGTTAATACTAATGTATATCATGTATGTGTGTTGCACAAAGAGCCCAACTGGCCTCCGAAGCCCAGAGAATCGACAGTCATTACTCTCAAAAATTCATTTAACGATATTCTTTGTTTTAATAGACTATGAAGGCTATAAAATGTCAACCGCACAATGACAAAAATATGGTGCCGCACGCGAAGCAGGCCATGCTTACTTTTTTCGAAACACCTAACGATACTTTGAGCGACTCCGCTATTACACAACTTCTACTATTGATTTTGCCATACTTTAGACGAGATTTTGATTAACGGAATTGTCTTGCTTGTACGGATTATGTATTTGAACACAATGCGATGCCGAAAATAGTTATTGTTACTTCATTAGAGAGGCCCACACACTAATTTATTAGATTGCAACCCGCAGACTGTGGGCGGATCATTCCGTTTATGATAATTTTGTTACAAAGTAATTAAGGGCGTATTTTATGAAACTTGTGGCTATGTCATCACTTATTAGTGAAATGGCAATAATAAATAAGTTTTCGATTTTTTGGAAAATGATTTTTGATCATGGTTGTTATTACATGAAATGGTGTTTTATATTTATGTTAAATGTCAAAATGTTACGGCCACAGACTTGATACTTTATAAATCGTGGAATGTCCCAACAGAAATAAATTCCATGGACTTACAAACGCTGCATTGTAATTATATTATGTCATTCTCATTGTGTCCGCTGCATGTTCTTCTTCACGATGTGAAACTTTTACCTGCATCTATTATTACCTTGATTTCAATAGTCCAAAGATTGACATGGTGAAGATGCTGTACGAACTAACAAATCTTGTATCATGTAGCTATTGAATGAAATACATGTATATCTCACTGACAAGTTAGTAATTGGTTATTTATGTATTTATGGGCCTGCTGTGAGGATGGAGGCAGTGAAGACAATTATGCTGATGATAATCAGTGCAGGAGTTCAAGCTACAGGTGGGTTAAATTTATATCTTGTTATGTCTTTATGAACAAAGTAGCGGCACCAGGGGGTACAAGGAGGACATTTGAAAAATAGTGCGTACTCAACTTCATTTCTAACAGTATGATTTTTTAAAAGCTTTTTTCCAAGAATACGTGTCAAAATGCACCAAATCAATCAAAAATTTTATTTGAGGAGAACTGTCCAATGCGCTCCACAGAACTGCTGCATTTTGAATCTAAACCTCTTCTGTTCTGAGTCAACAAGTATTACATTTTTTTATGTGTGGTTTTGTTTTAGTTGTTGTTGTTTTTTTTATTTTGAGTTTTTGTTTTAATGCCCTTTGTGGTATACTGCTGTGGTATGTAGTTTATATTTAGTTTATATTTTTGATTTAGATAACATAAATGGGTTTAGATTACAATTTAATACAAAATACAACAAGCATGAGATCCGGTGTCCTAAAACCAACTTTAATGTTGGTCTGTAGTATAAGATTTTCACTGCAATTAAGTAACATACACAAGAAAATATAAGGAAATTAACACTTGAACGAATTAGGCACATATTCAATTTACAAAATTTATTTTTGATTTTTTTTTTACACAAGGGAGGTTATCCTATTAAAATATTTTATGAATTGGTCTAAAGTAGTGAAATGATACCAAACAAAATCGGTACACGAGTGGATACGCGTGAGAACACTGTGAGAGTAGATTATACACTTCTTACTTCTATCTACTCGTATTAGATTGATATATTTTCTAAAGAATTTATATGTAATTTCAGCCCTTTTACAAGATGATCCATGTAACAACTATAAAATGTTATATGATGATGGTGGCCGGAGTATTAAATGTGACCTGTATTACTCTGAGTCCCATGATAGATTTATAGATGAAGGATGGAGAAGAGTCCAGCTACAGCCAACAGGAGAAGATCTTAATATGCCTACTCAATGTGTTCCTCATGGATATTGTGGCTCTCACAGTAATGTCTGGTTAAATGGTAAGAAAAGGAAATACCCCATAAAATTTTAAGTACTTATAACTCATGTCAATCATTTTACGTGATATAAAGTTTCGTAACTCTTAAGTCGCAACTTAACCCTCTGTATTGTTTATGGTATTGTATGTGGTATTTTGTTTTTATCATCATTGTCTATAGGTACCCATTAGAAGGATAAGGTTGATTAAGTATGTTTTATCATTTTGTCTATAGGTAGCCATCCTACAGTAGAAGATGGTAAAGTTGATAAAATGGGGGGATTAAGTATGTTTTATCATTTTGTCTATAGGTAGCCATCCTACAGTAGAAGATGGTATAGTTGATAGAATGGGATTAATTAAGTATGTTTTATCATTTTGTCTATAGGTAGCCATCCTACAGTAGAAGATGGTAAAGTTGATAGAATTGGGTGATTAAGTATGTTTTATCATTTTGTCTATAGGTACCCATCCTACAGTAGAAGATGGTATAGTTGATAGAATGGGATTAATTAAGTATGTTTTTTATCATGTCGTCTACAGGTAGCCATCCTACAGTAAAAGATGGTATAGTTGATAGAATGGGATTAATTAAGTATGTTTTATCATTTTGTCTATAGGTACCCATCCTACAGTAGAAGATGGTATAGTTGATAGAATAGGGTGTTTAAGTATGTTTTATCATGTTGTCTATAGGTACCCATCCTATAGTAGAAGATGGTATAGTTGATAAAATGGGGGATTAAGTATGTTTTATCATGTTGTCTATAGGTACCCATCCTACAGTAGAAGATGGTATAGTTGATAAAATGGGGGATTAAGTATGTTTTATCATATTGTCTATAGGTAGCCATCCTACAGTAGAAGATGGTATAGTTGATAGAATGGGATTAATTAAGTATGTTTTTTATCATGTCGTCTACAGGTAGCCATCCTACAGTGCAGAATGGTATAGTTGATAGAATGGGATTAATTAAGTATGTTTTATCATGTTGTCTATAGGTAGCCGTCCTACAGTAGAAGATGGTATAGTTGATAGAATGGGGGATTAAGTATGTTTTATCATGTTGTCTATAGGTAGCCATCCTACAGTAGAAGATGGTATAGTTGATAAAATGGGGGATTAAGTATGTTTTATCATGTTGTCTATAGGTAGCCATCCTACAGTAGAAGGTGGTATAGTTGATAAAATGGGGTGATTAAGTATGTTTTATCATTTTGTCTATAGGTAGCCGTCCTACAGTAGAAGATGGTATAGTTGATAGAATGGGGTGATTAAGTATGTTTTATCATTTTGTCTATAGGTAGCCGTCCTACAGTAGAAGGTGGTATAGTTGATAGAATGGGGTGATTAAGTATGTTTTATCATGTTATCTATAGGTACCCATCCTACAGTAGAAGATGGTATAGTTAATAGAATGGGATGTCTAAGTATGTTTTCATCTTGTTGTAAAGCCAAGTATCCGATAAAGATTAAAAATTGTTCTGACTACAATGTTTATAATTTAAAGAGAACTTTTGGTAGTGATGAACGTTACTGTTTTGGTAAGCGAAAATCACAACTTATATGTACCTTGATAATATATTTTATGTGTAATAGTCTAATTATCTAGATTATCATTGGCAGAATAGGCACCCCAACGAATTATGTCAGCCTCATTAGTTGCATTGATTACCACGAGCTACAGTTTCGACATTTTTAAAATTGGGTAGTTACAGTAGGTTCCATTAGATCAAATACCAGCTATATTAGAAGTTCCATTACAGTAGATTGTGACAACTATCTAATTACAGGTTTCGAGTTGACATCGAAAATGTATTGTTTTCAGTTATATTTATTTTTTTTTAAATGTTGTCTCAGTACCTGGCAATAACTGTAAAGGTTAAAAATATTGGACATCAGTAAACACATAACCGACCTCTTGAACAGACTCAAAATATATCGCAGGTCATCACACTCCAACCCGAGTTCTAATTGCAATTATTTCGTTTTAACAATTTCTTCATTACCTTTGCAGTCTATGCAAATTCCTGAGTGTTTAGCCGCCAGCTTTGAAAATGCAAAAAATCAGACAATTAATGCAGGGGCATTTTCAACGTCTTATTTAATGTTTTTGTAATGTGCTTGTCACAAATATGTGATTTTAATATTTATGTGGACTCATGTTTCAGTTCTTATATACTGAGCGAAAAGATTTGAACAGAATTATAATGTACAAATTGAGACATATATAAAATATAATGCGTAAACAAAGTTTGGAAAAAATAAAAAGTAATTAGACCCGATAACTAGGAGTGGACTATGTATCCAGATCAACAGGTTTTTGTGTGTCAATCAAGTCATAAACATATTCTACAATTTGGACACACCACAATCAACGATGTAACTGTTACAAATGTGGTTAGGGCGTGGTCATTAAACTGTTGACAAGAATATGAATACATGTTGTTTGATATGTTAAATATCCCGGTCCATCAAAGACATTACTACTACCTTTCCCAACATGTCCAGTCTATTTCCATGTATGATATTTGAACTGTAGATGCAAAAGACGTAGTAGTGCTCGGAAGCTGGCAAACAGGTCTAATGTGTTTTTTTATTTCTGTCCTTGACAATGTCCAATAATTAACGTTATTATGTAACCTCAAATTGTCTGTTTTTCAGGAGAAGCTGTTTGTTTCTATGCAGCCGTCGAGCGTATCTTACACTTCTTTCAGAAGCTGCGAAATACTAATGAAGATTAATTTATCATAAAAAAATAGATCACGATTTGTTTAAAACAAAATAAAGACATCCTTAAATAAAAATATTCTTTCTCTAATTTTATTTTGTCATAAATTATTTCACAAAACACCAACTTGCCAGACATTACTTTAGAAACGTTGTGTGGCTTGTTATTAAAGAAATGTTCAAATATTATGGTCATAAGTTGTAGTAACTTACGAAAGCCGGGGCGGGACATTCCAACTTCCACTCTCTTTTTTTCATTCCGACTTCCAATTTTTTTTTTTGCTTCCGAGTACCGAATACCAATTGTTTTTTCTTTCAACTTCATTAACTTTTCACATGTATTGGCCTACATATAATCTTTTCGTCGGAACAAACTTTTGAAATATCATAAATATTTGAATATGCTCATAATAGGAAGATATGCTCGCTTTCCCCACACTACAGAAATAATTAGACCCAACAATTCGACAAAAAAAAAATGTCCGGCACATGGAATGAAATATCGAAGCTCTTGCAAATAATCCATGCCTCTTCCCATCCCCAATTCATGCTCTCATTGCCTGTACACAAATCCCAGTGACTGGGGCATTAGGCTACTGCTTTGCTTTGTTGATGAATATGTTTTAATATGTCTTTTTTTTAAATTTTTATTGGAAACACGGTGAATCAAATCGCTTAAGTCAAGTCGATGTTGTATTGGTACCGCATGCCTGTTACAGTCACTGCATTCTTTCATGTTACACATAAGCGTTTTAAACATTTTATTTTTAAGTGTCATCTATCCAGATGATATCAGGTGTCCTGGTTCCTTACTTTTTGAATTCTTTGTGTGATATTAATGCAAAATAATGCTAAAAGTTGGTACCCTTGTTCCTCTCTAGCCTGACTATCCCGGCACAGTTAAACCTTCGGATTTTGAATTCGATTTAACCTGGTCAGGTTGAAGGTATGCAAACGGGTTTTAGTCGTACATATATATAGATAGGAAAATAAACTTGATACTTCGTGTGACATAAACTGTACATTGCAACAAGTTAAAGATACATCAACAGTTAGAAATAAAAAAAAGCAGGTTATCCAGGCACAATTTTCTCCATGACAGACTGCATGACGCAGCACCACGAGCCCAATCAGGTGCAAGAAAGTATAGAACATAACTTTCGTACACCGGAATTAAAATGATATGCATTAAGGTGCACGAGCAATCAAAACGTCCTATAAAGCACCTAACTAGTGAGATTTAGACATATTGAATTAAAATAGCACAAAATCAAAATACAAAACATAGATAAAGCAATATCACAGAACGAACACCATAAAGTGGTGGTAATAAACAATGATAAAAAGCAGTCAATACACCACAACCCGAACCCGAAAGCAAAAAAAAAAAAAACAACTTTGAAATAGGAAGTAAAAAAAATATGTACATTTCTTAAAGATCAAGCAAATCAGACCACTGTAGTAATAAGTTAATGTACATTGTTGGTGTTGCTTCCCTTTAATTGTAATGTTCATACCAACAAGAGTTGTTTCCCTTCAATTTTTAATAAACATGGCTACCAAAACAACATGTGGGTTTTGACTCATTAAGTTCCAGATTTTGCCAAATCCGTTTACCATTGTAGTAATAAGATAGCTTGCCAGGCAAGGTAATATACGCCCACTGGCAGCTTTAATTTTAAATAAAATATTTAGCAGTACAGTAACAATCATCAGTATGAAATATTCAACATTCAGTCATACACTTCTTTTGAACTCTTTAGGGCGATACTGAATTATATTGAGTATGAGTTATTGCCCATGTTCTTGAAAACGTGTTCAATTTTTAGTAGGGCTGTGTATTGCGACTGAAAATCGTATTACGATATATTGCGATACATCTCCCTGTATTGTAATGCGTATTGCGATACATCTCCCTGTATTGTAATGCGTATTGCGATACATCTCCCTATATTGTAATGCGTATTGCGATACATCTCCCTGTATTGTAATGCGTATTGCAATACACCTCCCTGTATTGTAATGCGTATTGCGATACATCTCCCTGTATTGTAATGCGTATTGCGATACATCTCCCTGTATTGTAATGCGTATTGCGATACATCTCCCTGTATTGTAATGCGTATTGCGATACATCTCCCTGTATTGTAATGCGTATTGCGATACATCTCCCTGTATTGTAATGCGTATTGCGATATATTGCTAAACGTCGTTCAGTTGATATTTCGGCTTTTTATCCCAATTTGTGAGCAACTGAAGTTATGTTATGCATACCATCCTTTTTATACGCCCACATGAAATGGGGGGCGTATATTGCCGTCACCTCATTCCGTCCGTCCACAATTGCTCGTAAACACTCTACAAGGCACAATTCTTGACTGATTTCGATGAAACTTGGTATGGTTGTTTGTAATCTCCCAAGGATGAACCCTATTGAAAATCAGACGAATCGAAAAATATTTACTATGAGTTATTGCCCTTGTTCTTGAAACGCTCGTAAGCACTCGAGAAGGTGCAATTCATGACGGATTTTGATGAAACTTGGAATGAGTGTTCGTTATCGCCCAAGGATAAACCCTATCGAAAATCAGAAAAATTGAAAAATATTTAGTATGAGTTATTGCCCTTGTTCTTGAAAACACGTTCAATTTTAGCTTGTAAAGTCTCTAGAAGACATAATTCTTGATGGATTTTGACGAAACTTGGTGTGAGTGTTTGTAATCACCCAAGGATAAACTCTATCGAAAATCAGAAAAATTGAAAACATTTAGTATTAGTTATTGCCCTTGTTCTTGAAAACGCGTTCAATTTTTAGTTCGTAAACACTCTAGAAGGCACAATTATTGACGGATTGTGACGAAACTTGGCATGAGTGTTGGTTATATCCCATGGATAAACCGTGTTGAAAAACAGAAAAATTGAAAAATATTTCGTATGAGTTATTGCCCTTGTTCTTCAAACTCGTTAAAATTTTAGCTTGTAAACACTCTAGAAGGGACAATTCTTGACGGATTTTGACGAAACTTGGCATGAGTGTTTGTTATAACCCAAGGGTAAACCCTATTGAAAATCAGAAAAATCAAAAAATATTTAGTATGAGTTATTGCCCTTGCTATTTGAAAACGCGTTCAATTTTTAGCACGTAATCACTTTGATGAAACTTGGTGTGAATGTTCGTAATCACCAAAGGATGAACCCTATTGAAAATCAGAAGAATTGACAAATATTTAGTATGAGTTTTTGCCCTTGTTCTTGAAACCGCTTTCAAATTTAGCTCTTAAAAACTAAAAGGCATGATTCTTTCTGGATTTTGACAAAACTTGGTTTTATTATTCAGTCCTGAAGATTGAATATTTGCCTTCTAGAGTTTTCACGAGCTAAAGATTGAACACGTTTTCACTAGGGCATTTACTCATACTCAATATTATTCAGTGTTGTGCTTAAGAGTTCAAAAGAAGTGTATGACTGAAGGTTGAATATTTCATACTGGTGACTGTTACTGTACTGCTAAATATTTATGTTCAAAATCAAAGCTTAGTCTAAGCATTTATTATATGTTAACATGTATGGAATATTGGTGCACCCTAGTTAATATGCCAATAGAACGATATCCTAAGCAAGTGTACTTGATGTTAAAAAGTTCAGATCAAAATCTTGGTCGCACTACTTGGATAACGCATATGAGAATGTTATTGTTTTCGCTTGGTTTCGGCTTTATATTTTATGTTGAAAACATTGGCAATGTTAATCATTTCTTACAGTCAGTAAAATTAAGACTAAGTGATATTGATATTCAGGAGTGGTCAGCTAAGGTTATGTCACACGATAGTCTCACTGAATATAATTCTTTTAAATTTGAATTAAACCAGGAATGTTATTTGACATGTCATATTAGTATAAAATTGAGGAGAAATATCACCAGACTGCGTTTAAACCTACTACCCCTTTCAGAAAATCTCTATAAGAGAGGTGTTTGTAAGACCCCGATATGCCAGTTATGTAACTGTGGTAATGAGGATGTTTATCATTTTATGTTCACATGCAAAAATTTGTGTAATTTAAGAGTTCGATTTCTTCCGTCAAAATACATCAAAGATCACCATGACACGAACCTTCTATCAAGCATATGCACCTCAGAAAATAGAGCGTTATTAGTGTCAGTTGCTAGGTATATAGAGGCAGCTTTGCTGTTTAGAAGCTCTTGATTAGAGCTAATTATCGTTGTTTGTTCGCCCCCTTCCCCCATCTTGTCTTTGTTATTATTTATCAATATATTTATTTCTACACAAGTTATATACCTATGATATTTATATATTGTAATCATTAATGTATTATGGGTGAATGACCTTATATCACTGAATAGGAGCCGCGCTGGCTCAGTGAGTTAGACGCTTGCTCGCTAACCCAGGGTTCAATCCCGGCATAAGTCGAGATAATACCTTCGGATTTTTCAACCCCGTTTCCCCCTGTCAGTGATGTAGGTAAGAAGGGCTGACATGGAAAAAGCGTCTAGTCGTTCGGATGGGACAATAAACCGAGGTCCCGTGTGCTACAGGCTGTGCACGTTAAAGATCCCTCAGTTGGAAATCGAAAAAGAGCAGGCTAATGCCGCTGTCCTGGCAAAACTTCCCTCATGACACCCTGCATGGCGATGCCCGTCTTCATTAGCCCACAAGGTGCAGAAGAGTAGGACGTAAAACTCCATTCATTTCATTTCATTTATATCACTGAATAAAGATATTATTATTATAATTAACAATTTCACCAAGTTTCCTCAAAATCCGTCAAGAATTGTGCCTTCTAGAGTGATTATGAGGTAAAAAATGAACGAGTTTTGGAGAACAAGGGCAATAACTCATACTAAATGACGATTTTCGACAATTTTATTACCTAATTGTTTATCACTATCAGCTTTGACAGCAGTTAACCAATCAGGAATGGTGACGAATGAGATAAAGAATTGAGGACAAGAACAGGTCTCAAGATATATATTCCTTCCAGTAACTATGACGAAATATTTCAAGAACATTAAATATGAATATACTTCATTTATTTGTTTGCAGTAAAGTTCATCATAAACCAAATCTCTCCGGTGTTCAAGGTGTGGGCATGCTAATGTTCCTGGTCGGCGATTTTTGTCACCGATTTGAGTTTTCAAGAGTTTCACCGCATACGAGGAGACAAACTCCAATCGGTCGTTTTCCACCATGTCGATAATCACGTGCGGAGAATACAATTGAAAGGAAAATGAATCTGATTGGATGATGACAGCCTGTCTTGCCGTGAAATCACCGGCGACAAAACTCGCAGATCGAGACCGTTCGTATGCCCGCACCTTAACATGACTCCACGTAACGATTTTCATGATTTGCTATTAAACATTGTCCAAGAGTTGCACATTAGGATGAAGAAGAAAATCTGATTGCTGTCCATCACAGCAACTGACAATAATTAAGACATTTACAAATAAATACACAACTGGAATCAGAGTTTATTTCTATATTGCTAAATACCTTACATAGACTGTTAAGGTGTCTTACAAACATTATAAAGTATTTCTGTTTTAACCAAAGATCTTTAAATTGTCTTAAATCGAAAAGTACACAACACATGTTATAAATTTAAGTTACATTACATGTCATCTATTTACACCAGATGGAATTTCGTAACGTGTAATGTACGATCGTTCCTCTTTCCAACAATAATGCATAAATAAATTCTTTTAAAATATTAATATTTTTGCTGCCCAAATCTTAACTTCTTATGTATTTGTCCAACATCGGTGTGGTTTTCATAATCCGAATGTACTCGTTATTCTTTAGGATATGTGCCATGAACGGCTCAAAACAATATCTTAAATCATTAAATTTGGCTAAAAAAAAAATATTTTGTCAATATGAAGGATTAATTTGACTGACAGCTGGTCATTTGACCCTTTCAAATCTCATTAGTCATGCTCAAAAAAATGAATTTGGTGCAAGCAAAGAGCTACAATTTAATTATTACGTTAGCATTACAACAATAACAATACTTGGTCAAATAAGGATACTACAAAGTAATAAGGCCTCTTGATGTGAACTTTTCACACCTAGTTGTGAAATCAGTGGGCCAAAATGTGTTTTATTTTGTGCACTACTTGAAACGTACCCCCATTTCAAGCTGTGAATTGTAGCAAGTTACTCAATCGTTGTAATTGGGAATATTGGGAATAAGTAATATTTCATTGGCAAATTTGCTTCATACGTGACCTTATTATCTTCACAATAACATACTTGTTAATTTTCTATTGTAATGTTTCTACTGCTGGATTGACTATACAACCCCAGACAGTATTATACGGACCATCAAGTCAGACAATCATATTTTCAACAACATTGTTTTTCTAAAACATTGATTTGTTTCTAGTTTTACGTTTTAACAATACTTTTGGACATTTTGTAAATTACATTCAACAAACTAAGAGAAGATAACTACTGAATAAACGTGTTGCATCGGAGTTCCAACGTTTTTTAATTTGAAATTTATGGAGAATGTCATATTATGACATCTTTTCTAAGATACAATCGTTGCAATTATAAATTTTTTGACGGACAAATATGGGAAAAGTTGTGCAATTGCTTGCGGTGAAAACTAGAAATGTTCCACATAGTGATGCAAGATCAAATATTTCATTTTCAAAAGCTGCCATGAGCCACAGACACTATGCAGAGTATCTCAGCCTATGAAATTTAGTGTCACTAAGGAAATTTAGTATCACATTTAGAAACCATAGTTTGTATTATTCTGTAATTTCTTTCTCTTTCTCAAATATATTCGCAGACGGCAGTGGCAGCCATCTTTGTACTTGAATACGATTTAGATTATCTGGTCTTTCCAATACTGGTAAGCTTACCTTACACCATTAACAATTCAATATAATAACAATCAAAGCAATTACTGTATTTGATTAGACTTTTTTCTATAGTTATTAAAACTGAAATATAATCTTCTAAAACATATAAAAAATATGGCCTTGTCATCAGTTCATTATTATACAGTAAACCCTTATTCTGTGCTTTGCAATTTAATATCGTGTTCCACGCGGTATTTTATACCTCACTGAGAGGTTTTAAAAAATGAAAGATAATAAATACAAACATAAAGAATACTCCTTTTGCGCTGAAAATGAAAATCCGATTTAGACAGTTCTATTAATTATAATAAACCTTCTTGTTGCTGTTTGGCAATGTCTAATGACCATATTCGGTTACATCCAAGAAATATAGATCCAGATCCTTGAGTAACTTTATAATCTACACAAAAATCTACACCAAAATCTAGAGCAATGTTCCCTAATCCCGACTGAAAATTTTACCATAACGTATTATGTCGTTAATGGTAGAACGCCAAATTCATATAAAAGGTTTACGACAACATTTTAACGTCAATAATGATGTTATTTGGTTGGTGTTGAAAAACTAATGTACGAATTTTAGTAAACTAAACTACTACTTAATCTCAGTATTGAATCACATCTTTTGAAACAAATTCAGGTTGAAGTGTGTACATAGAAGTAAGAAGTAAGTAGCATTTTTTAAAAATATGTATCGCCAGTATTGGTGTTTGTGGTTTTGTATTGTCGTAGGTCATAGTTTGTAATACAAACTGTAATTATCTCCCTTGCTTTCATTCTCCATGATTGTTATTTAATAAACGTTCTCTAAATGCTCTATATGTCTCCGTGTTTGCCGTGCCATATAAAGAGTCAACTAACAGTTAAACTGGCGTATGAAGTTTTTTTTTGTAAAACTGTTGCATACTACCCCTTTTAGCATAAAGCTTTGCATAAGGTGAAGGTATATGCCGACTAAAACGAAAATGTTTTCGACAAACCTGAAATCATTTATACAGTTAATAGCTCATCTCCGGATGTTTGGTATTCAGGTCTGCTGTTTGCTAGCTGACTTCCTCCTTCGACATGCTGAAACGTTCGCTAGCTGATATTTTTATGTACTCGTCGTTGAAACAAGTCTAAGAGCAAACAAAATTCGGTGGCCTGGACAACAAATATTCGGTCAAAAACAAACAGTTCCGCTTTTAAGACATGTTAATATAATCGTCTGTCAGTTGGAAAGCACACCTCGTTACACTTACATATAACATACACAACAGTTGATTGAATATTGTGTTAAAACTTAGCAAATCAGCCAATGATAAAAAAAAAACTGGTTGCGGCTCTCGCTTGATCATATAACAGTTGGTAAGGTGAGTATGACAAAGTTAAAAGCGACACAAAACACCTTCATTCCTCCTGTTGGCACAATAGGAGTTGGGTTAGTCTACCTAGAGAGGCTAAAAGGCAGAAAATCGTCGCCTATCGCATCATATTTTTGCTGTCAACGATGTTAGATTTTTAGGCATTGAGAGGAGCATGACCAAAGCATGGCAATATTTGTGTAACGAAGAACCACCAGAAGAATAAGCATGATTTGTTTCGCATGGTTACTACAACATTAAAGCTTAAATGAAATGGTCTATCAATATAATTTTTAAAATTTATAAATGAAATACTTCAGTAAATACCACAAAAAGACGCATGGAGGCACACCACAGCAATATATACTGACAGTCGGGCTGATCAATTGAAAACTGTTATTAAATAACTTAATTCATCTAAGAGAAACTTGAAGATTTAGAGAATAAGGACAGGTAGTATTTTGGAGGTAGTGTTCGACATCCAGAAAATCAAAATTAAGGTATATTTTTAGCAATAATTCACATAGGGTTGAAGTACTACATGCCCAAATCCAGAAAGTCAAAATTAAGGTACATTTTGTTGCAAAAATTCACATAGGGGTAGAAAGACAATAGAAGCCGTCAATCACTCGGGCACTTTTGTTATGTTTTCTCTAGTAAAGCTCGGGAAAGGTTCGAAATAGAGTAAATATACAAGATCGATGTCTAGAATAAGTATACAAAGTTCCTTACGTAAGTATAAAATATTCACTATTAGAGTAAGATCTACTAATAACTAGGGTAAATATACAAAATTCCTTTGGGAAGAATGCAAGACCCACTATTAGATTCAAATGTAAGACAGAAAATGTCTAGAATAGATATACAGAATTACTTTCAAAAGTAAATATAAAAGATTCACTAATACAGTAAATACAAGATCCACAGCTAGGTTAAATATACAAGATCCACAACTAGGTTTAATATACAAGATGCACATCTAGGTTAAATTACAAGATTCATAACTAGGTTAAATATACAAGATGCACATCAAGGGTAAATATACAAGATACACATCTATGGTAAAATACAAGATTCATAACTAGGGTAAATATACAAGATGCACAACTAGGTTAAATATACAAGATGCACATCTAGGGTAAAATACAAGATTCATAACTAGGTTAAATATACAAGATGCACATCAAGGGTAAATATACAAGATCCACAACTAGGTTAAATATACAAGATGCACATCTAGGGTAAAATACAAGATACATAACTAGGTTAAATATACAAGATGCACATCTAGGGTAAATATACAAGATACACAACTAGGTTAAATATACAGGATGCACATCTAGGGTAAAATACAAGATTCATAACTAGGTTAAATATACAAGATGCACATCTAGGTTAAATACAAGATTCATAACTAGGTTAAATATACAAGATGCACATCAAGGGTAAATATACAAGATGCACATCTAGGGTAAATATACAAGATCCACAACTAGGTTAAATATACAAGATGCACATCTAGGTTAAAATACAAGATTCATAACTAGGTTAAATATACAAGATGCACATCTAGGGTAAATATACAAGATACACAATTAGGGTAAATATACAGGATCGACGACTTAGACAGATCTCTAAGGTTCCCCTCTAAGATACGAGGTCCACAACAAAGGTTGCAGACAGCAATCTTAGACGAAAAGCCCTCATTTATATAACCTCAAGGAACATCAACATAATGGGATTCAGAACCCAAGTTAAAGTTTGAATCTCGGTATACGACATGATCACGTTTGTAGATGTTTTCAGGTAGATCGTATATATTAGGCGGTCTGACTTGATTTCTCCTGACCATTTTCGATATTCTGAAGCAGACTATAACCAGAATGAATAATGTAAAGACAAATCCTGAACTCCAACCTACTGTTGACCAGATACCAGTTTCAACAGCATCTTCTATGTCAGCATCTTCTAATACATCTTCTACTACATCATCTACTACAACAGCTTCTTCATAAACAGATCCAGGCAAGACGACCAATTTGCTGAAAGTTTTGTCAGGACAAGGACAAAAGTAGGGTTTCAAAGGATAAACTATTTTCGACAACTGTGACGTAATGTTTCTGAAATAATAAAAAAGGTATATAATAACGACATGTTACGTCCGATGTTTCTGCTCATTGTATTCACGTAGGAACCAGGCATGACATTCAATGTTGTTATGATATGTCGTTACATAGTTTTACATAAACATTACAATTACAGAACTTAATGATGGCGTTGTGGGGTTAATTCACCATTCCCTAAATAGTAAACATTTCTACCTGTGATAGTAATAATACATTGTTCCATGAAATAAAACATAACTTGCAAATTTTATCAACGATTGTCTGTTCTGTAGGTTAAAATTGGTTCTAAAATCCATATTGCCGACACTGGTCCAATAAACCTTTCCTACTGAAATATAGAAAGCACGAACGACTGCTACTGAACTCATATATTTTAAATATTTTATAAATATTTTATAAAGTGACGCAATATAACCCGACTAACGTTATGTACATAAAATACGCTAGGAGAGACCACCATAGAAATAATTCCATGCATACTGGATGCAATCTGTTTGTTACGTAGAGGCCAAACGCGTTCCATATACTAATAATGATATAAATAAAAAGCTAAGAATTGAGTCGCATTAGCGTGTGAACATTTGATATCATAATCAGGAATGTTACCCGCAAAGTCATTCAAGTCAACAGATTCAAACCGCGGTTCGCTATTATCGGGGGTTGATTTGAGCCTTTAATATATGTAAATAGTCTCTAGGGTAAATCTTGATTGGCAAAACCTGAACAGGTTTCGTCCGTTCCAATGGCTGATTCTCAAGAAAAGACAGTCGTCATTTTAACCTTGCAATACAGATAATTCTAGTCACACATGCTAAGCTCAAATTTCAACGGTGAACTGTAAATACTATAATGTATATGTTTAACAATATGGGTAGGTTATTTGGTAGATGGTAAAATCGCAGGCTAAAGATACAAATTTCATCAGGCATTCGAGGTCCATAGGATGAGGCATTCAAGCAACATCTTTTAACACACTTACTTACCTAAAGATAATTGTTAGTCTAAATATATCGATACCAAAACTATTAAATATAGTACGCTGAAACTTTCAGTGCGGATTTTCGTGGTGTAACACTGCTGAATTGATTTATCAAGCTTATCAAAGAGTAACATGATCTATTTTACTGCTGTATGTATGTTTCAGTAATTTAGTTTATCCTTTAATTCCTTTTATCAATACCTACTTACGTTGTACATTCAGCGGAGCCCAGTCTTCAGGAAGATCTTGAACAACAATCTGATTTATATTAGAGTTTATTAGATATCTGCTTATTTGGTTATATCTTGGGCCGGACCAATACAAACTGGAAAACAATAGTTCGAGGTAGTATTATAAGCTTCTTAATCAAGGCAGTATGCAGACAGATATAATAAAGTAATCGTGTCCTTTGGATTTAACAATGTCATTTCGTCATAAACGAGTCTGTTGGTATATAACCTTGACAACCTTCCCGATAACATTAGCCAATCAAGTTCCAAGTGACGTCTGGTTCAATAACGTTCGAATCCTCGAATTAGTGACCTCAAATGCAAGTGGGGGTTGTTCGAAACGTTTCGAGAAATTCGTGTCCACTTTGGTTCTCAATGATCGTGTCAAAGCCCTTGCAGATGCTCCTTTCATTTTAGTATGCAACAAGAAGGACAAAGGGGACAACAAGAAGCTTGTGTTATTTTAGAGTAGGAAAAACTGTATTATTTAGTAGTCTGCTAGTGTTTCAGTGTTGCAGATAATTTCTGAACGATGCTAGTAAGTCTCATTTTATTCCAGCTGCACTAAGCTTAAAACAGAGTTTCATCTTACCAAACACTATTAAAGGCTTTGATTATGTCGCAGAACACCGTCCTTATATATGATCTTTGATCGATAGCTTTATGATACAGGAGCGGAAATTTTTCTTGTAGACCAGTTGAACAACTGATACAATTAACAAATTACATAGCACTTACCTGGCTTCGTTACCATAATAATCAATACTTAGAATTGAATTTGAAGGGTAAAATTCAGTTACTTTTACATCTTTTAAACGAAAGAGTTGTCTGTTGGTCTTTAAATCAAATTTCATTAAACCCCAATTCTTTTCAGCAAATATTATCTGACCATCGTGAACTCTGAAGACCATGATACCTAATCTATACAGAGCCACAGCACGCTGAAATAATACTAAAAGAAAAAGGTAAATCAGTTGATAAGATGTCCAATGGAAAATATTCTCCATTGGACATCTTTGTCGAAATAAATAAACCAAGTGTCAACTATCCAAACCGCAAAACGATATCCAAAACTCAAAACAACATATTGGCGAAACATTGATATGAAAAACCATGTTTTAACTTGGTCCTTCAACAAAATGACAGAAACAGACATGTTATATTATGCGATTAGGTCAAGATGACGGCCATTAAATGTCTGAAGGAGTCGGTGTGGTAAATACCCCATGGTTAAAGATATGTCCTCTTATTTTCATTTATGAAAATGAAAATGCTAATACTTATATGAATAGAACGCAGAGGTGTTCTAATAACCATTATACCAATAATACTATTTTGTCTCACATGTCCATAATTAATTCACAATTAGCTTAATTAGAAGAGAATTACCATCAGAATTCCAATGAGTGACCGATCAAGAAAGATCAAAAAGTCTTTTTTGCTTATCCAGACTGTACATACATGGACATTTATGATTGGTTAAAACTCTTGATTATATGCAAAAAGAACATAATGATATGATTAAGAATACACGATAATTCTTTAGAAACACTAATTAATCAAATAGTATACATAATTTGACACTATAAAATAAGGAAACCCATCTTTAAGCATTTTCGGGTGTCAATTTTGGTCTTGAATAAAAATTTCACCGTTGACATAGTGCTCATTACATCAAATGTTGAGCGATATAGGAATATTAAAACAGTTTAGCTATCAATGGACCAAGATGTTTTGTAATAATATTGTTCAATTTAAGTTGCCAAATGTGTTTTGAATGTTCAGTAGCATTTTCATATTTTTGATTGCACATGAATGTACAATATTTGTTTAAACGTGATTCCAGTCAGTAAAAGATATGTTTTACGATCATTTGTGTCAGTGTTTGTGACTTCAGCCATGTATATATCATTATTATTAGTTTTGCATTCACCATGTAGTGGACATGACTCTTTGTTCCTATAGTTACATGATTTAGATGTGTATGAAGTTTTGAATATTTAGGGAAGTGTTTTGGTGCAAGAATTTATGACCAATAATTGTAGGAACATCTTTACTGAATGAAAGTTTTAACCGGGTTACGTTACGTTTTCTATATTGTTTGGATCTGTTGGTATATGACAATCTTTCCGAAAAGCAGCTCGGCAAGGCAACGGCAGAAAAAAAACTGACCTACACTATTTAGAATTACGGTGAACATAGTTTATGTCGGGCCAGCATCTTTTGTTGATTTAATTGTGTTTTTCTAATATCAATTTCACCAGAAACGACCATAAAACGATCAGCAAAACGACCAGAAAAAGACCTCGAACTATTTTGCAATGAATTCTAAGCATGCTTTGTTAGGACAAACAAATGATTAATTGGGGTGATTAAATCTGATAAAATGCTCCTTCTTTGACTTTGGCTCAACAAAAAGTTCAAACCATAGCCACACTCGAAGGAACAAATTTACTGGAAATAAAAACCACATAAATATGAATAAACCGACTACTCCAACAGGTCATTTTGAGTCTTGATATTCGCGAATTAGAACACACGTTTTTAAAACACTGGCTGCAATAAAAAGTTAGAATGTTCTTATTGTGTATGCTGAAACGATACAGTAAATAAATCTTGTCATTTTTCAACATGAAATTTTGTGTCTATATCTATAGTATGCAAATGTTTAGCCACCCACCCCACTGTGTCGAGTTAAATCGTGAATTTAAGTAAGCGATCCATATTATTTATTTTTAAATTGAGTGGAGTGGAGATTATGTCGCTGACTGCATTTTCGACTTACCGTTTTTAAAATATGAAATTTTATTTGGTCTATGCTATACCATTGAAATCCTGGATTCATATATCCGGACTATTTTGACCACGGAGCAGAAAATAAATTGAAACATACAGAATTCCACTTTAGCACAGATAGCAGCTCAAAACAGGTTATAAACCTCCAGGTTTAAAGAGTGCTCCAAGAACTTAAATGATAATATTGTACATAGTTCTGCGCGAGCTTTATGATTGGTTCCCTGTCGAGAGCAGAATTCGCTTCAAAATTCTTTGCATTATCCTCAAAACAATTCACCTTCACAACGCTGTGAGTAGTATACTTTTAGGGTTAGTTAATTTCATTGACCTTAATGACCTGTGTTCTTCAGTTGTTATAGAAGTTTGGGGTTATTCATTGACCTTTAATGACCTCAATGTCGTCTGGACCTTAGCCATGATGCATCATCAGCATTAACAGTAGTCAATGATGCCAGCAGATTACTTATCAAAGAACGTATCAGCCACTACAGAAGTTCAAAATGAACCCTTCACAGGTTAAGAATTGAACTACAGGGCAAACTCAAAGAAGTGTTATCACCACAAGATTATGATAACCATCTATCCATGACCGAAAATGCCAATACTAGAAGAATCCAGATCGAAACAGAAGTATAAGCTAGCCAAACTCATCAGGAATAAGCAAAATAATAACCAACAATTAAGCCATATCAATATGCAAACTGATTACAGGAAGAAAACAGTCGTCAACATCTCGTCCAAACCCCTCACCACTGACCAAATTAACCTACTAGCCAAGGGTCTGAAATACCGTGCCATCATTAAAACCATATCCAAAGAATTTTTAGTTACCAATATTAAGAATGGACTTCCAACAACTAGCTCCCAATGGTCAAGTTGATCATGTAAGATACCAAATCCTCAACATCATCAAGAAAGCAATACCGCAAAGACCGAACCTAACCAACCAGGACAGAACAGCTATGAGAGAACTCAACCCAAGACTAAACCATTACAATTGTTCTAGCCGATAAAGAGAAGGCAACAGTATATAGATACCGACCATTTAGAAGAATTAGTAGAAAGTAATCTAGCAGATCAAACCACCTACCAAAAAACCAGCACTGACCCTACAGCAACCCTTAACCGGAAATTGAAGCTGAAATTTAAAGAACTTGAAGAGAAGCAAGAAATAGATGGAGCTGTAATGTCATGCTAATATTCATTTGAGAGAATCGATACAAGTGAAATTATAATCAAAATTGAAATAATACAAATTAATTGCTATCATGTTTGAACTCATTTAGACCAAGTTAGAGAGTTAAAATAAAATATTAAAAAAGTAAATTTAATATTTGTAACATATTGGACTGAATTAATTCCTTTTGATTCAATATTTTATATATATGATTGACCACCAAGATAATTCAACACTTGTTTCATTAAATATTAATTGATTTTCTCATATGAGTATAAATATGAGTGGAATAATAGAGTTCTACAGTTCCAGTTATTTTCCATCTTACACCTCTTATGTATATTTGAATCTTAACTAGTTAAGGAGAACAAATAAAGTAGTTTGTATTTGTAAAGAGTCTTCACATATATATACGGGAGCTGGGATGCTAGAAAGCTCTACATAAACAGCTCCATATTACTCACCCAACCCCACCTTATGCTAAAGCACAGATCAAAATTCATAAAGATCCAGTAAAAGTGAGACTTTTTGTGTGTTCTGGGAATAGTGGTTACTTTAAGTTATCTCAATATCCTTGCCCCACTTAATTAGTTATGATTTAGTAGATCTCTTCACTAATGTGCCAACTGACTCAGTTTTAGACATTCTTACAAACCGTGTATCAGCTATCCTCTCAGATTTAACACCAAACTAACTGTCAACAGCACTGTGGAATTAGTTAAATTGTGTATATCAACAACATACATCACCCGGAAGAGCGACATCTACAAACAAGTACATGATCTACCCCATGGGATCCCAGATCAGCCCACTCCTCACCGAAATCTACATGACCTTTTTTGAAGAACTAGCTTTATCTACAACCATTTCATTTCAACCCTGACCTGCCAAGCCAACATCATATGTAATAAAAAATCATTCGAAGATGAATTCAACCACCTTAAAAACTCCTTCATCAGCCTAAACGAATACAACCCCAAAATAGTGAAATAGTCATAATCAACGCACTTATGTCGACTTGCAAGAGACCTTCACAACCAAAATCTCCCTTATATTTCAATATCCCCTATGTAGGAACGATCAGCCATCATATCAAAAGAACGTTAACCCAACAAATAGGAGCGACAGTAGTATTCTCTGACAGTACATCTTTGGAAACATTGATTCACGCTGAAGTGAGAGGAGAAAATGTATAGTGAAACCTTCTAAGATATTGACACCTTTTAGGTCTTTCCAGGTAAAATCACCCGTAGCTAGCTCTTGGAATTATATTCTTCAGCATTACTAGTACTGCACAGTATTGCATAATCCCTTCAGATAGACTTCAAACTTAAGATTTTACATTCCATTTCAAGTCTCAAGAAAAGATGAGTCGGTATTTAAACTTGCAACACGGATAATTGGATACATTTGGACTTGAAGGGTCGATTTTGACGGTGAGCTCTACACAATTACTGATAAGCTAACATATTCCAATTTATGAGAGTAAGGTATGAATTTTGTGAAACGGATTAACGGACCGGTCCCTATCCCAAAATTTAAAAAAAGTATATCCTACCTTGGAACACTAATCCGTTTTTAAATTTCTCCGACAGATTCACACTAGTCTTGTTGTCGTCTACATCGAGTGAGAAAAACCCGTTCGGTGTGACCCAGTAAAGGATACGTTGTTTCACATCGGCTGTAACGAATTGGATAGGTCCATCTGAGCCATTTTGATATAGTTGCCATTTATTATCTCTACAAATTTTTATGTCGTTAGAATTCAGGGAAGAATTAAAAAACAGCGGTTCTTCTGAAAATATAATTCGTTAGTTAGTTTATTTATTTATTGTAATCTTTTAAATATTGGAATATCTTCCCATTGGATCATTGTAGACAATCTCTAGCCGTTATAATATTAAAAATAAAGAAATTTTGTGAACTGTTCATCTGAAAGCGGGCAAGTGAATACTATCTTGTTTAGAATGCTATGAAAGCCGATATTGTGCGAATTCTATTTTATCCCACGAATTATTTGTTTCAAGTTCCTCATCATGCAGTTTTGTAATATCTTGACCCCATTCTTTCTGAACATTGAACATTATTACTTGATGTGTTTTAATGGAATTTGTCAAATCACGAATAATATTGCGGTCAAACTGGACAATGAAATCGAAGAAAATGCCAAACTACCTGAAGCAACGCTATACAATCCAAGAATTAAAAACTGCACAACCAGTATAATCCTTGCGATATCAGTGGCAGTCATCTTGGTAAATGAACACGATTTAGATTCTCTGTTTTTTTTTCATAACTAGGAAACTTATCTTACATCATTAAAATTTCAATTTAATAACAATCAAAACTAGACATGTTCGACTGTAACCATATCTTTAATGGACTATTTCAAACAGTGGTTTTTGAATGTTGCACTCTGACCTACCTATTAAATTAACACCATTTGACTTCATGACCTGTTACATAATCTTCTTAGCTCTTTGTAAAATTTACATCTTGTCGAATTAGAGTGCGATGTTATTTTTAAAATTTTCATAATTTTTTTTAATACATATTGATCTATATGTTGTTTTAAAGCTGTGAATTTGCACATTATAATTCAGTTCGAATTTTTCAATTGTCCATTAAAGTCAGCAACAATATTAATTAGAACTTAATCAAGAGTCCATATACGTATCATAATAACCTATTTTCGTCAATGCACGTTTCGAAAAGGGTTGAAAACTAAAACATTGCTAGAAAGCTTATGGCAGGCACATTACAATAACATCAAATTAAATGGTGACAAAGTTCAAGTTCATGTTTTATAATCCTCCGAATATACGAAAAATATGAGTCTTAAAATCAAAAGGTAATGTACCAAAATCAAAAATCTGGGTCAGGTTAGACAACTGAAGTAGAAAGATGGGGGTTGTGGACTTCTAGAGAACCTGGGTATTTTTCTTACTTACATTAACAGAACAACCGGATTAAAAATGTAGTCTGCAATACATTTAACTGGGGTTATGAAGCGAACCATTCGTTATAATATCATGCTAAACATGAAATACGTCGATATGCATGATATTGAAGTCGCTAAAGGGTCGATATATCGGCTGCATGTTATCAAGGAAAAGCTGTATACTATGATATTATCATTTAAGTTCTTATTTCTTGGTGTTTGACTTTATAATGACGAGATATATTTAATTGAAACCGAATAAGTAGGAGTATGTGTGCTAAAAATTCGTACACAAACAAAAAAACATCAGTGACGCTAAATTACGTCGTAAAACTTTTAAATAATTTTGGCGTTCTAAATTTAAAAGCATAATTCTTTAAAGTAAAACTTGATTTCGCTCTAGATTTAGGTGTAAATTATAAAAAAATTCGAATTCGCCATTAAACTGCATGGAAGCAATTTGTATTTGTATTAACTATCTTTTATTAACCGCTCCGCTCGGTAAGGTATAAATTACCAGGTGGAGCACGATCCCATAATTTCAAAGCTTGTAGTTTCAGCACAGAATAAGGTTATACTCTATAATAAACGATGTACTGATGACATGGCAATATTTATTTATTTCAGTTTTATAAAAGCGATCAACTTATCTCAGTCAAGATTAGATTTCATTTTTAATAATCATAGAATATATTCTCATTAAATAAAATGATCACTTTAATTGATATTAAATTCAATTGATAATGATGTAAGGTAAGCTCACCAGTATCACCAGAGGATCACATTCGTATTCATTTGCCATCACTGTGGCAAGGATAGATCTAACGTGGCGTAAAAACTGAAAATGTATCAAGAAAGGTTTTATACAATATTACAAACTATTTTTTCTTGATGTGATACTAAATTTCATAGGCTGAGATACTCTACTCTACCATATTTACCCGTCACAAAATTTATAATTGTATCGATTGGATTGTTATAATATAACATAATCCATATATTACAAATTACAAAACATTGGAAATCAGAGGCACATTAATACAGCAATTTTCTCTTGACTTGTCTGATATAATTTACAAAATGACCCAAATATTTTGTTAAAACGTAAAAATACAAACAAAACAAAAAAAACGATTGAAAAGTCTCTTTCTTACTTGAATGTCCGAAGACAACTCACTCCTTGACTAACAAAATACTGGTCTGGGGTTATAAAGAAAAACAGAATAAAAAGAAATTGTATTTTACAAGGGTAGCAACTTTAGTCCATCCTTTCTAACAGCTGGTCGTTGGGCCAACTCCGCACTGATCTTTCCCGGATTATCCATACCCATTTACAGCTAGGTCGACTCGAAGTATAAATGAAGATGACTTATTCAAGGTCATCGGACTAAACAGTCCGATCGAGAATTGAACCCACAGCCGCCATATGGCCAATCCAGCAGTAGAAACATTGCAATAGAGAATAAGATGTATTTAGATATTGACGTGACGTCTGAAGAAAATTAAAATCACCAATCGTTTGTCTCTATGGTTATAATGATAAAAAAGCCAGTAGTTTTATTTGATATTACAATTTGAAATATTTCATTGAAACCATTCATATTATAAAGAGGATAAAGAGTACATTCTGATTATGATTTCTGCAAATAAATTGAAGTCTGAATGTTGTAAGTTAAACCCTTACATATATTGAAAAGGCCAATTTGTTAAATTTGTTATCATTAACCAAGACGACTGCCATTTATCTCACAGTTTTTTTTATTCTTGGATTGTATAGTGTTGTTTTACGTAGTTTTCATTAGCCCACATGTTGCAGAAAAGTAGGATGTAAAACTCCATTCATTTCATTGTCTAGTCTGACCACAACCTTATACTCTGAGTTGAAAAATTCCTTTCAAACATAACTGATTTAGGGTGATTATAATAACATAACTGAACCACAAAATTATCCATCTTTCCAAATATATTTGGGTTTAGCAGATCTAATCTAAATGAAATATTTCGGGGCTGCGAAAATCCCCCTTAACTAGGGCTTATTTTTCTGTCTCTACAAAAGCCTACAACTTTCAAAAAAGCTATCAGAGATATCAGAGGCTCGAATAGAGGCTGATGTTTCGGTCTAGCCAAAGCATTGAAGTAGGTATATGTATGCAATACTATTTATTCTATACGAATATCGCTCCGACCATGTAAATAAAACATAAAATCATCTGAATGTGACCCGACGATGTCAAGCTCATCCTACCTCTTTGTTAATATTTACAATATCTTAATATTTTTAAAAAATTGAACCTTAATCATGAGATATGCATAGAATTATGAATAGATATATCTATGTATATAGTACGCATACGTATATAGGGAGAACCTGTGTATTAAATACACACCAGGGGCCTTATATACCATTTATTTGGCTAATATCATATTTTGACGTAAACAAGTGGTTCCTTTAAATAAAACCTACGTGTACATAGAACGCACCAGTAAATAGTACCAACAGTATATTGTTACACACCTGTATATAACATGCACCAGTACATTGTACACACGGCAAATAATACGCATCGATTATTACGTACCTGTATATAGTGCATATATTACTCATCTGTATATAAGACACACCAGTGTATATATACAATAACTCATATAAAATATTTTTTGATTTTAAATAATGTTTATATACGCCCTCATGAAATGGGGCGTACATTGGCGTCACCCATGTGCGTCCGTCCGTACGTCCACAAGGGCGCATCTCTTGGCGGATTTTTGACGTAATTACCCAAAGATGAACCCTATTGAAAATCAGAAAAATTAAAAAATATTAAGTATACGAGTTATTGCCCTTGTGCTTGAAAACGCGTTCAATTTTTAGCTCTTAATCAATCTAGAAAGCACAATTCTTGACAGATTTTGACGAAATTTTGTGAAATTGTTTATTATCACCAATGGATGAACCCAATTGAAAATCGAAAAAATCAAAAAATGTTTTATTGGTGTAATTGACCTTGGCTTTGAATACGCTTTCAATTTTTGGCTTGTAAACACTAACAGGCATGATTCATGTCGGATTTTGACAAAACGTGGTAATATTTTTCAGTGTCGCCCCAGAAAGAAGTGTATGACTAAAGGTAGAATATTTTCATACTGGTGATTGTTACTTTACTACAAAATATTTTCATGAAAATCAGAGCTGCCAGTTGGCGTATATTACCTTGCCTGGAAAGCAATCTTTTATGACAGAATATTTCATTGAAAATCAAAGCTGCCAGTGGGCGTATATTAAATTCCTGGCAAGCTATTTTTTTAAGACAGATAAAGCACTTACCCTATGATATTTTTCATACTTTTTTCCTCGAATACGAAAATCACTCTTGAATGCAAGATTTTATATATTATAAAAGCCCTCTGTCGTGTTTTATCCCATATTCAAGAATATTTTGGGGTATTTTGTGAAACATATTAGACAAAAAAGATATGGGTGCTCATAACTACTATAAAACAAAATAAACGTCCGTTGCTCAACTAATACTATGCATGAATGTTGCAAGCTATTTTAGATTTATAAAAGCATTTTATTTCAATTTCTCAGACAATTTCGAATTTTACATATTTTATACAAAAAATGTTTGATCGGAAGATCAAGTATGATGATTGGAGTACTGTGAAATGTTCAGATGATTAATATCTGGAAGCTTAACAGTTTCTGGGCTGTTTCCATTTTGTAGTTGTTTTAATAGCACTAAAAGACCTAAATGAAAGTTAAAGGGGTATTTCTTTTTTCTTAAATTTGTAAAAACTATACACCAAAATCTAGAGAAATGTGTCCCTTAACGTATCTGAAAGTTTAAACTCATACCGTAATAAGCCCAGTATCCGCTTTCAGCACACGTGCCAGAGTTCCGTATAAAAACAAACTGACGCATACTGAGAATTCAGTTGCTTTGAAGACAGCTGGCTCATGGCACGTCTAACCTCCCACAACGTGAACAAACCATCGGGCGATTAAATGCCGGACAACGTGTTCAAGTCATTGCCAATGCATTTAACTGTAGTGCACCAAACATTGAGAGACTTCGGATTCGTTACAAGATCGACAACATCTGAATGACAGCGACAAAGACAGCTCGTCAGACCATCAGCAATCCACCAGTGCTACATCTAAGGTATATAAACAAGATCCACATCTAGGGTATATAAACAAGATAAACAACAAGGGTGAATTAGTATACAAGATCCACTACTTAAGTAATTGTATAGGCAACAGTAGAACCAAGCTTAAACGAAAAAACACTCATTTATGTATTATTATAACCTCAATAAAAATCAACATAATGATATTCAGAACCTAACTTTTGGTGTTTGAATCCCTCTTATCACGTTTGTGGATATCATCAGATAGATCGTATATATTTTCTTCTGTTGTGTAACGATTAGGTTGTCTGACTTGATTTCTCCTGATCATTTTAAATATGCTGAAGCAGACTATCACCAGAATGAATAATGTGAAGACAAATCCTAAACTCCAACCTACTGTTGACCAGATACCAGTTTTAACAGCATCTACAATAGCATCTCCATTAACAGTCTGATCAGTGGGCGTTTCAGATCCAGGCATGACGACCAATTTGTTATAGAATTTGTCAGGACACGGACAAAGGTAGGGTTTCAACGGATAAATCACTTTTGACAACATGGAAGAAATGTTTCTGAAATAATAATAATAAAAAAATGTTTGTTACAATGACATGTTCCGTTCGATGTTCTGCACGTAGTATTCACACAGGAACAAGGTATGACATTCAATGCTGTTATGTTATGCTGTTACACACTGTTACATAGTTTTACATTTACAATTACAGAACATAACTCTGGGCTTGTGGAGTTAAAATTCACCGTTTCCTTGGTACAATAGTCAAAAGTTCTACCTGTGATAGGAATAATACATTGTTCCACGAGCTAAAACATAACTTATAGATTCATAATTAATCCAGGAATGTCTGTTCCGTAGGTTTAAGTTGGTTGTAAAATACTTATCATAATACATGGTCCAGTAAACCTTTTCGTCTGAAATATAGAAAGCAACAACGACTGCTATTATTTTAAATTATAAATATCTACCTAAAGTGATGTAATATAACTCGACTAACGTTATGTACATTGCAATACGCTGGGAGAGACCATCCATAGACATGATTCCATGCATACTGGGTGCAATCGGTTTGTTATGTAATGGTCAAACGTTAAAACACTTTCCAGATAATAATAATAAAAACTAGAGCCACACGTGGCACAAAGTGGGACTGTGCTACTGTGGCAAATTGCGGCTATTAAACCGGCAGCTGTCATTGGACTTCAATTATGAAGGTATCAATCTGTAGCCAAGGTCAATGATCTTCGATCCTAAAAAGGTCAAGGTCAATGTCATAAATTGAAAATATGGAAATTCCAAAACCGATTCCTTTTTTTGAACTATTAGGCTAAAATAATTGAGCTTTTAGCACAAAATGGCCAAATGGATGAGGTAATGGATTGCAAAGTTCCATTTGAACAAATGTATACTTCGCAAGTTATGCCTCTGGCTAAAAATGTCAATAATGAGTAATTTAACCCGGATGTGCCACGCCCACCTCATTTATTTGAAATAAGTTAATTGATATTCAAAATGTTATGTTGTGTTCCAAATCAAAAGCTTCTTCATCATACAGGTCAAAAGATATAGGTCAACAAAAGTCATCAAAGGTAAAATTCGAAAATTGACAATATGGAAATTTTAAAACCAGTTTCTTTTTTAGTACTATAAAGCTGAAGCAACTGAGCTGTTAACACAAACTGGCCAAAAGGATGATGTAATTGTGTTTTAAGTCCCTTTTTGAACAAATGTATCCTATGCGAGTTATGCCCTTAAATGTAAACAATTAGTAATTCAACCCGGATGTGCCACGCCCACCTCAACTTTTTTGTCATAGGTGAATTTCTATTCAAAATGTCTAGATGTGTTCCAAATTTCAAGCTGCTACATCAAATAGGTTTAAGAGACAAAAATATGGTGAAACAAAACACTCAAATTTGAAAAAATCACGAATTTCAATTTTGCCTTAAAAATACGATTGTTTCATATCACTGGAAAGAGCATGAGAAGCACATTAAGAAACCGAAAAAAGTTGTGAATTTGGCCGTTTTCGGACAGCTATAAAACCAGAAGTACATGACAGGACAAATGTCAAAGTATCAACTGATAGCCAAGGTCAATAACTTTTAAGCGTATAAAGTAAAAGGTCATCAAAGGTCAAGGTCACGTGGTATGAGCGTTTAAAGTTTGAAAAAATTCAAACGGAAGTTGCAAAAAAGCAAAAGAGAAATTCAAAATTCAAAATTCGGCTCCTAATGTTTTTTGCGCAATCGATTGCAGAATACATACTCATCAAATTTGAGCAATTTAACATTTACTCTGAGGCCCCATTTTGAGTTTTACGAAAGTGTTCTTTCAATATGGCGGCCGAAGTATCACTTCCGGGCTGGATTTTATTTTAAAATCGGCTGAAGAATTTTATTTGCTAAAGATCAGCTAAATTTTGTTGACCTACATAAATTACACCCTAAGTTATTCAACCGGATGTAGATTTTTAAATTCAGTCGCTTTCCTGTTTAAGACAAGAAATGAACTCTAACAAGGTTGCCACTACAGGTCTACACATATAGAAATGTTGATGCAGCTGACCAAGCCTAGAATGTGTGCCCTGTGGAAAAAAAAAAAACTACAGCCACACGTGTCACAGAGTTTGACTTTGCTAATGTAGCAAATTGCAAAAAACCCTGAAGTGCAAGAACAGTCTAAAGTTGAGAAATTAACATTTTTTAGAAGATTCTAATACCGGAAGTAGACGCCAGACCTCACAAACGAAAGTATCAGAAGATAGCCATGGTCAATGACCTTTGATCTTGTAAAAGAGAAGGTCTACAAAGGTCAAGATTACGTGATAAGTCATCAGTCATAAGACAAAGGTCAAGGTCAAAAATTGAAAATTTAGAATTTCCAAAACCTGTTCCTTTTTTGGAACTATGAAGCTGGAACAACTGACCTTCTAATACAAAGTGGCTCAAAACATGGGGTAATTGCATGCAAAGTTCCATTTTCAAGCTTTCCTATGCCAAATATGCCCCTCCCCCTAAATGTAAACAATTAGAAATTCAAACCGAAATTTTTTTTGTCTTAAGTGACTTCATATTCTAAGTGTCTAGTTGTATTCCAAATATACACCAAGCTCATAGAGACACAAATATTGTAAAAAAAAAACCGCTCAAATTTGAAAAAAATCACGAATTTCAATTTTGCTTTAAAAAAAACGATGTAAAGTGCATGAGAAGCACATTAGGAAACCGAAAAGATTAACCCTCTAGGTTAATTAGGTCAAGTGCTAGAGAAGTCCAAAGTTGCGAATTTGTCTGCTTTCGGACAGCTATAAAACTGGAAGTACATGTCGGAGGTCAAATGTCAAAGAATCAACTAATAGCCAAGGTCAATGACCTATGACCCTATAAAGCAAAAGCGAAATTCAAAATTCGGCTCCCAATGTTTTTTGCGCAATCGATTGCGGAATACATACACATCAAATTTGAGCATATCAACATTACCCTTAGGCCCCATTTTGAGTTATACGAAAGTGTGTTTTTTCAATATGGCGGCCGAAGTATCTCTCCCGGTCCGAATTTTATTTTAAAATCGGCCATAGAATTTTATTTGCTACAGATCAGCTAAATTTCGTTGACCTACATAAATTACACCAGAAGTTATTCAACCGGAAGTAGATTTGAAATTCAGTCGCTTTCCTGTTTAAAAGCGGAAATGACGTACAAATTTGACTGTACCATATTATTTACATTAGTGAAGTCTCTTTGCATTTAAAATTTCAGATCAATCGATTTTTCAAGTGACATCAGGTCAGAAATTACAGGTAGATTGTAAAAATGAAAACCCGAAGAAAATGGATGCAAAAATGCGCCCTGTAGAGCCGATTTTCACCTTTTTGCACATGTTGACCTGTGGCACTTCTGGTTTTGCAAAAATGTTCCAATTTATATTCATTTTGTACGTTGCCACTACAGAAGGTTTACACATGTAGAAATGTTGATGCAGCTGACGAAGCCTAGGTTGTGTGCCCTGTGGAAAAGAATTGACAATTCGATAACAAACTTGGACTTTGCGGTAGTTGAGTATGAACATCAAATATGAAGGCATTAATCTTTAGCCAAGGTCAATGACCTTCGATCCTACAAAGGTCAAGGTCATCAAAGGTCAAGGTCAAAAATTGAAAATATTGAATTTCCAAAACCTGTTCCTTTTTTTTGATTTATGAAGCTGAATCAACCGAACTTCTAAGTGGCTCAAAGGATGACGTAATTGTATGCAAAGTTTCATTTTGAACAAATGTATTCTTTGTGAGTTATGCCCCTGGCCAAAAATGTCAGTAATGAGTAATTTAACCCGGATGTGTCACGCCCACCTCATTTTTTGGCATAAGTTAATTGATATTCTAAATGTTATGTTGTGTTTCAAATTTCTACATCTTACAGGTCAAACGATATGTCAACAAAAGTCAACAAAGGTCAAAATCCAAAATTGAAAATTTGGAAATTTTAAAACCCGTTCCTTTTTTGGAACTATAAAGCTGAAACAACTGAGCTGTTTACACAAACTGGCCAAAAGGACGGGGTAATTGTGTGCAAAGTATCCTATGCGAGTTATGCCCCTTCCCCAAAATGTATACAATTAGTAATTCAACCCGGATGTGCCCCGCCAACTTCAACTTTTTTGTCATTGGTGAATTCATATTCAAAATGTCTAGTCGTGTTCGAAATTTCTAGGTTGTACATCAAATAAGATATACATACACCAAGCTCAAAGAGACACATATATTGTAAAAGAACACTCAAATTTGAAAAAATCGCGAATTCCAATTGTGCTTTAAAAAAACGATTGTTATATATCACTGGAAAGAGCATGAAAAGCACATTAAGAATCCGAAAAAAATAACCTAGGTTAACTAGGTCACGTACTAAAGCAGCCCAAAGTTGCGGAGTTGGCTATTTTCGGACATCCTTAAAACCGGAAGTAGTTGTCAGAGGTCAAATGTGAAAGTATCAGCTGATAGCCAAGGTCAATGACCTTTCATCCAATAAAGTTCAATGTTATCAAAGATCAAGGTCATGAGAAATGAGCCTTCAAAAATTTCAATTGGAAATTGCAAAAAAGCAAAATCAAAAATCGGGCTTCTTTCTTTTTTATGTTCTTCCATTTGACACCAAAATCATCTAAATCGGATAAGCCGTTATCTCTGAATAGATTTTGACGCATTTCAGGAGTATCAAAATGGCGGCCAAAATATTACATCTGGTCCGGATTTTTTTTTCTTCGTTTTTCTGTCATGACTCTGACTACCGATCAGCATTGTCTTCGTTGATGTATTTAAATTACACCGGAAGTTATTCAACCGGAAGTAGATTTGAAATTCAGTCGCTTTCCTGTTTAGAAGCGCAAATGACGTACAAAATTTGACTGTATCATATTATTTACATTAGTGAAGTCTCTTTGCATTTAAAATTTCAGATCAATCGATTCAAAAACAAAAAAGTTTGAAAAAAATTGAAAAATTTGATCGAAAAAAGTGAGCGACAAATTTTCGGATTTAGTAATTTTTCAAGTGCTATTAGGTCAGAAATTACAGGTAGATTGTAAAAATGAAACCCGAAGAAAATCGATGCAACAATGCGCCTTCTAGAGCCGATTTTTGACTTTTTGCACATGTTGAACTGTGGCACTTCCGGTTTTGCAAAAATGTTCCAATATATATTTATATTGATATATATATATATATAAGAATTGACAATTCGATAACAAACTGGGACTTCGTGGAAATAATGATAAAGGCTAACAATTAAGTCGTATTACCATTTGTATCATCATTATCAGAATTGTTTCAAACAATATGTTACCCTCAAAATTATGACTCTTGATTGGCAAGTTCTGGTAGATGTTGAACACGGAGGGTAAAGATTTCATCATGCGTTCGAGGTCCATTGGATGATGAAACAATATCTTTATAAACAACTACTTAGCTAAAGATATTGTTAGTCTAAATATATCAATACTAAAATGGTATGCTGAAACGCAACTTCCGGTGCGAATTGTTGTAACACTGCTCAATTCACAGATCAAACATCTTAACATAACCTATTTTACTGCTATAGGTCATTTGGTTTCAATAATACGAAAGGAAAGAATAGTGTATCCTTCATTTCCTTTTATCAATAACTACTTACGGTGCACATTTACAGCTATCCAATTTTCAGGAAGTTCTTGAACAACAATCTGATTTATATTAGAGTTTATTAGATATCTGCTTATCTGGTAATCACGTGGTCCCAACCAATACAAACTGGAAAACAATAGTTCAAGAAAGAATCTTAAAGAAACTTCAGCTTCTTAATTCCGTTTTACAGACATGAGAAAGTAATCCTGTCGTAAGGATTGAATAAAGTACAGAAGCATCATATATAGATAGTGAGCCACAAACGACTCTGTTGGCCTGCTCGTTATCATTTGTTCTAATACGTACGGCGTCTAAACCTGCGAGCACATGTGACGACTGGTTCAGTAATATACCGAGTCCTTGAATTAGTGACCTCATAAACAAATTATTGTGCAAATAAATGATGTACAGATCCAGCACGGTAGTGCTGGGATGCATCAAGCTTAAGACAGAGTTTCAAACTCTATCAAAAACTTTGATTGTGTCCCAGAACATCGTCCTTAAGTATGATCCTTGATCGATGGCTTGAGTTCGAAGATCGAAGAGCCGAGTTCTTATTTGTAAACTAGTTGAACAACTGATACCGATAACAAATTACAAAGCACTTACCTGGCCTCGTTACCATAATAATCAATACTTATAATTGAAGTTAAATGGTACAAATTCTTTACATTTACAACTTTGAAATTGAAAAGTTGTCTGTTTGTCTTAACATCAAATTTCATTAAACCCCAATTCGTTTCAGCAAATATCATCTGACCATTGTGTACTCTGAATTCCATAGAGGCAAATCTATTCACAGCCACAACACGCTTTAATAATACTTAAAAAAGGCATTAAAATCAGTTGTAAAGGAGGCAAACCAGGATCTTGCAGTTGTATCATATGAATAGAACAATGACATGTGTAGAACATTTAGAGGGACGAGTGGATGATACTGGGGCAGGTGATGAGGTGGGTATACAGGATAAAAGTGGCATATCTGTCTCTTGTATAAGGTATTTTTTGCAAAGTCCCAGTTTAATATCAAAATGTCATTTTTTGTAGTTTTTACACACCATCCTGTGCTTCAGTAGTTGAAACAACCATTCAACATGCCAATACCATAGATATAGACGACGATGTGCAATAGTCAAATTTTTTGCATCACTTCCGGTTTGAAGAGGACATTGATTTTAACTTCCGGTTGAATATTGTTCGGTGTAATTTGTATAGGTCAAAAAATTTATGCTGATAGGTAGACAAAGTTATGACAAAAAAACGAAGAAAAAAAATCCGGACCAGACGTGAAACTTTTGCCGCCATTTTGATTTTTCTGAAATACTTCGATTTTTATTCAGACATAGCGGCTTATTCGATTTGAATGTTTTGGTGTCAAATGAAAGAAATTTAAAAAAAACCATGACATTTGGAAGCCGTTTTTCGATTCTTGATTTTACCTTTTTTCAAATTCCAGTTGAAGTTTTGAAATTTTTTAAACGATAAGTTGGCCTTGTAAACAATAACTTATGTCAATGAATTATGTTGTGTTTTTGGAATAGGTCACGTTATACCTAAAGAGTTGATCACAATAATTAAATCGTGTGAGAAACGATTTCATCATATTTGGTTTTTGTATGCATAAGTAATTATCTGTGAAAGCCTGATGTCTATTCTAAAAAGACAATTAAATTAACCTCAATCAACTGTATATTATCATGCAACCGATTCCTAACAAGTCTCACAAGAATCCTAGATTTTCAAAATTTGAAAAATGTCTACTCTCTCTGGTTTTCCATGTATGTAGATGGCCACGAAGAAGTGGGGACAATTGACTGGCGGAGACGTGAATTCGATAGCCAAGAAAGTCCTTAGCCTCTGTAAACTTCTTATCTTCCTCACATCAGTAAATCTTGCACATGGGTTAATGCTTCCACAAAGTCGAATTAGCTCAAATTAGCAAATTTGCGCATATGCGAAAAAAAGAATGACTCAGATGTGTAAATGTCGCTGTGTAAACAAGGCGTACGATTTGTAAAACCTTCCCGTTACCAAAATTATTTAAATTATAAAAAGATATATCCTACCTTGAAACACTAAACCTTTTTTAAATTTCTTCGACAAATTTACAACAGTCTTGTTACCATCTACATCGAGTGAGAAAAACCCTTTCCGTGTGACCCAGTACAAGATTCGTTGTTTCACATCGGCTGTTAGAAACATTATCGCACCATCTGAGCCGGCATAATATTGTTGCCATTGTTTATCTTTACAAATTTTTATGTCGTTCGAATCATTGGACGAATTAAACAACATGGTTTTTTCTGAAAATATAATTGTATTATTGTAATATTTTACGAGTGGACCACTGCTTACTGTCTCTTGCAGTTATAATATTAATGATATGATTTAATACAATAGTATATATACAATGCCCCAGCACATCAATTACTTATCACGTTCTTGGGCATAGGCTTAAGTATTGGATTATCTCCCCATTTGGACCACTGCTTAAATCTTGAGCTGTATTTGGCACTACAACTACCAAACGAAACCATGTAACACCAATAGGTAACTATAAGGCAATAAAATCGAAGAATATCAAAATACCTGACGCAACGCTATACCATCCAAGAATTAAAAACAGCACAGCCATTATAGTTCCTGCGACATCAGTGGCAGCCATCTTGGTAAATGAATACGATTTAGATTCTCTGGTCTTTCCAATACTGGTAAGCTTACTTTACATCATAAAAAATTGAACTTCTAACAATTAAAGCAATCATTTTATCTTAATTATAATATTTTCTATGGTTATTAAAAATGAAACATAATCTGACTTGGTTTTAATTGCTCGTTTGTTCGCAGTTCTAAAACATCATATATCACATTTATAATTACAACACTAGTTGTCGTTGACCTAGATACTCAAGTTCAAGTTCTGCACATTTTGGTTGAAAAACATTACTTAATGGTATTTTAGTCATTCAAGAAAGCACATTCTGTAATACCAGATTCTTAAAATGAACGATTGGTCCTCTATTTATCCATATAACCATATTTTCATAAATATATGCTTTAGTTAGAATATTAAATGTTTTCAAATTGCATAGCAGTTCTTACTTCTTATGTACTTATTATACATAGATATGGCTTTCAAAATCATAGTGTACTCTATATTCTCTTCATAACGATATGTGACATGGTTCAATACAATATTTCAAATTAAAACATCTAATAAAAATGCTGGCTTTTTTTTTATTTGATGTTTTAGTTTGAATATTATATTGAACCATCCACGTCACATATCGTTATTAAGAGAATAAAGAGCACATTCTAATTATGGAAAGCACATCGATGTGGTATAAATAAACTAAAATAACGATATGTGACATGGATGGTTCAATACAATATTTCAAATTAAAACATCTAATAAAACTGCTGGCTTTTTTACATTCCATTCTAATTATGGAAAGCACATCGATATGGTATAAACTCAAAGCCAAAAGAAACTTTACCACTTTAAAAGTGAATTTTAGCAAAATATATGTGACAAGTTCGTATTCCACCCCAAATACATTGCCCAAACACAACAATGTTATGTGTACAAAGTATACTCGATCACTGCTCATTGGGGCGGAAAAATGTCAAGAATTGTGCCTTCTAGAGTGTTCACGAGCTAAATATTAAACACGTTTTCAAGCACAAGGGCAATAATTCATCCTTTTTTCATCTTTTTGATTTTTCTGATTTTCAATAAGTTTCATGCTTGTGTAATTACAAAAATCACAGCAAGTTTCGTTAAAATCAGTCACACTCGCTTATAGAGTGTTTACGGGATGAATATTGAACATGTTTTTCAAGAACAAGGGCAATAACTCATAAAAAAAATATTTTTCGATTTTTCTGATTTTCAATAGGGTTCATCTTTGGGTGTTTACAGTCATACCAAATTTCGTCAAAAATCCGCCAAGAAAAAGCGCATTATAGCGTGTTCAAGAGCAATTGTGGACGGACATGGGTGACGTCAATATTCGCCCTCATTTCATGTGTGCGTATATAAACCTTATTGAAAATCAAAAAATCGAAAAATATTTTATGAGTTATTGTATTTATACTGATGTGTACTATATACAGATGAGTAATATATACAGGTATGCACTATATACTGGTGTGTACTATAAACAGGTATGTAATAATCGATAGCTATTTTGAAAGTTGTAGGCTTGTGTAGAGACAAACTAAGCCCTGTTGTAAGGGTTTCCTACTTTTCTGAAACATGTGGGCTAATGAAGACCGGCAACGCCATGCAGGGAGCAATGAAGGAAACAGGACAGCGACATTAGCCTGCAATTGAAGAAAATACCAAACTACTTTAAACAACGCTATACAATCCCAGAATAAAAAAACTGTGACATAAATGGCAGTCGTCTTGGTTAATGATAACAAAATTTTCAAATTGGCATTTCCAATATTTGTAGGGGTTTACCTTACATCATTAAAACTTCAATTTAATTACTTTATATATTATTTCAATATTTCTATGACTATTAAAAGTAAAAGGTAATCTGTATTGCGTCAAGCTTGTCGTTTTTATAAAAACATTTTAAAACATATTGCTGTCTAACTTTAGCTGTTCATATCTTTTAAATATCACGGCTTTTATTTTATAATATAGACTAAAAGTGAAATATTAAATTTGTTTTGGACATGCAGGAATAGTTTTAAGGTGGTCCTCTTTCCAACGATATATTGACAATAATGTAATATCCATAAATAGCATAATATTGATATAAGACAAAAGTCCTTACTTCTTACATCGATCATAATCAGAATGTACTTTTTATCCTCTTTATAACATGGATGGTTTCAATGAAATATTTCAAATTGTAATATCAAATAAAACTGCTTACTTTTTTTGATTATTATAACCATAGAGAAAAACGATTGATGATTTTAATTTGCTTCGTACCTTACGTCATTATCTACATACTTACATACTTCTTGATTTTTCTTTATAACTCCGGACCAGTATTTTGTTAGTCAGCATCATTTTTTTGTTTTGTTTGTATTTTTACGTTTTAACAATATATTTGGGTTATTTTGTAAATTATATCAGACATGTTAAGAGAAAATAAATGCGCCTGATCTGATTGCCAATGTTATTTGTAATATATGGAATATGTTATATTGTAATAACCCAATCGATGCATTTATAAGTAGCAGCCATTGTAATAAATTAATACGAATTAAATCCTTTGGTCTTTCCAATACTGGTGAGATTACCTTACATCATTAACAATTGAATTTAATATCAATTAAAGCGATCGTTTTATTTAATGAGAATATATTCTATGATTATTAAAAATGAAATCTAATCTTGACTGAGATAAGTTGATCGTTTTAATAAAACTGAAATAAATATTGCCATGTCATCAGTATATTATACAGTATACCCTTATTCTGTGCTGAAACTACAAGCTTGAAATTTTGAGATCGTGCTCCAATAATTGATGATTACTAGCTCATTTCTCCGGTTTTTTTTGGTATTCAGGTCTGCTTTTATTACGACTTCCTCTGGCAACATCTTACGATAGCTCCGTAATGCTGAAACGTTCGCTAGCTAATAATTTTATTTACTCGTCGTTGAAACAAGTCTAAGGGTAAAAAAAATCTGGTGGCATGGACAACAAATATTCGGTCAAATACAAACAGTTCCGCTTTTACCGTAGAACATATAATCGTCTGTCAGCTGGTAAGCACGTGGCGTTACACTAATATATAACATACGCAACGGGGCCCCGTTCCACTAAAGTGCGTAATTTACGCAAAATATTTTTTCGTAAGTTAATCTTACGCAAAAAATTACGCCCGTTTCACTAAAGGACTTACGATCTTTCTTTCGTAAGATAATTTGAGGACGTTTCGTAAATGACGTCGTGTCTCGCGTCACGTGATTTGTGATAGCATTAGCAGACTACAAAATGGCGTCCTACAACGGAGTAGGCCTACCTTGTGGCGGTGTTACTTCTTCACAACCTCGTAACCCGAATTTCACTTCTTTAGAAGTTGAAATTTTGGTTGACGAGGTGGTGAAGAAGTACGGGATCTCTTATCATGAAAAAGTCAAGGAATGGAAGAAGGTGGCTTCGGCAATGTCAGCTGTCGGAGCCAATTCACGGTCAGTAGACAAGGTAGGTCTATCCTACTGCCACTGGCCTTGTCTAGATTATGTAGTTATATGTATAATGTAGGTTATCACCGAATGCCATCCGAATTTTTCTTACTTTCTATACTAGTTTAGTAGTTTCAGCCCACTTATTGATTAGGGGTGGAACAGACACAGAAATAATTGACAATTATCATGAGCATTAAACTTTAAATGATTAGGCTAATGTTCTGAAAAAGACTAGATTCAGTTCGGAAGCCTTATATCTTAGGATGGCCCGCAAAAGTAAAAAAAACTTATTTCCAGTGGGGTCCTTTATAAAAGAGACTATCAGCTCACATCAAGCTTGCCAAGAATGATAAAAATCATTATCACAGACTTGTATCACTTATAAATAAGGCTTAGAAGATCATAAAAATTAATGTTTAGCTCACCTGTATTTCTGGCGAAACTGTGCGTGATCTTCCACATTTAGAGAGATCTTCTCGCAAATCATCAACCAACGTTTTCGCGACATCTTTGGTTAACCGATAACGTTTCTTAAAATCCACATCATCC